TGTATATATTTGGGAAGCTACTGTTAAAATTTCAAATCGATCCGTGCAATTGTCAAGACGTAGCGTTTTCACCAACAGAGTAAAAAAAAGTGGTTTCGAGGAAACGCGTTTATAGTTTTACAAGTGCTCAGCGATAGGCCCGATGCGCTGCATAAAAATGTGCTGTAGAGCACAGTGAATGTTGTTTTTATCATACTAAAACATTTTTTAAGTAAAAAAAAATCGAGTTGTCCAAAATTCTTAAGGGAAATTTTCTGAAGTTTAGGAAATTGCAGCTTTTATTGGAAGTGTCGGTAAAGGATTTCCTCTTGTTCCGCCCGTAAATTTGTAAAGACATTCCCGGTCATTTTAGAATTAGTATCTTGCGTAGATCTACTGGTGGAAAGTTTAAAAATCGTAGGCATAGACGCTGTCCTCCCTACTTGTTTCATTTTGGCTCTAGATAAAGGCTTGGCTAGCGCACCATAAAATTACCTTTACTTTAAAAATTACCTTCGAAAGTAAAATTTTTAATTTCCAATAATTTTTTACATGAGAAAAGCATTAAATGCGTCATTAAAAAATGTAAAATGCGTATTTCGGTTCTTGCAACCATGTATTGATTGGATTTCTTGACTCAGTAGACCTTTTCCGATTGAAAATTAATAGCTCACATCATTTCAGGGTTTTAGGTATCTACATTAAGGAGTTTTAAAGCAAAACCCCATATCTAAACAATCAGTTGCATAGGAGATTTGAGTAATAGTGGGCCGATCGTCATGATTCTATCAGCAAATATTGTATGATTAATAAGTAAATAGCTCATAAAGTTTCAGGAGCTTGGCTATATAAATGAAGAAGTAATATAACAAAAGCTCATATCTGGACAATCAGTTGTATGGGAGATATATTTTATGGAACACCAATCTTAAAGCTTCCCTCAGTACACTTTGCTTGATTAAATAGTAAAATGCTCACAAAATTTTACAGTCTTCTTATTCAAAATGAGGGAGCTTTGAAACAAAACCTCATATCCGAACAATCAGTTAAATGGGAGCTATAACTTATACATAGTAGTCCGATCTTGATGATTTTCGCTGTAATCTCTCTATTGATTGCAAGTGAAGGGAGTGAAAAATTTCATGCGCTTAGCTGCCTAAGTGGAGGAGTTATAACACAAAATCTCCTATCTGATCAATCAGTTGTATGGGGGGCTATATGTTATAGTGGTTTATTGGAAAAAATGGAAAAAGCAACAACGTCTAAGCGGTAGAAGTTATAGCAGACTAAACATAATCGTGGTACAAAGCTCAATAACATTATTAAAAATAAAAATGTTAATAACCCACAATAATATTGACAAAAATCTGTTTTTTTTTTATCAAAAAGTTGTTTATTCTAATTACCTTATTTTTTGCATCATGCAAATAACCTTTAATTTGTTATTGGATGGAAGATATACATACCTATTTTGCTGTTTTTTGTAAAAAAAACTAATAAAACATTTGGATAATTTCTTTTACTTTTTTAGCCTTTTTTTATCGAGCTGTTTTTAGCTCTTATTTGAGAGTCTATTTAGATAGATTGCTGTAAAAATTCTGGCAACTCTGCCCATAACTCATTACCTGGTGAAATATTCTTGCATGGTTCTGGAATCTAGAATCTAGAGAGACAATTTTCGATGCTGAGAGAGTTTGTCGTTTACAAACAAATCTTTAACTCGTGTGCCAATAGCAATTATAAAGCCAAATATACTCGCAAGTCTCTATAAGTCGAACCTTTTTTTTGAATTCTTCTGATTCAAGCTAAGCAAGTTTTACTGTATCACACTTTTTGTAAATTTCTCATTCAAAGTATTTCTAAATTCTTTCTTTAAAAACATGCATATGTAAATATGGTTTCCTTAATACAGAAAGCCCCCATCTAACATTTTCGTTTCCTTATAAAATAGTTATAAAACTTTATAAAAACTTAAGTCAATCAATTCCAATTTTCTTAAAAAGACTGGTTATTAAAAAACACTGAAACTACTTGATGGATGTAGTAGTTGGTTTTGAATTCTTTTTAGTGGATAATGTACCGACTTTTGCACAGCGCTGAATTTCGAAAGAAAATGAGTTAGGACTTTTCTAAATTAAGGTAACGATACATATGTATGCATGTACATATGTGCATACACATGTATGCGCTATCTAGCACCATACAAAAAGAAACATTTGAATACTTTTCGACCGAGCATAAATAAATATTTTAAATAAATACCAAATTTCCTGTTAAGTATTTGGAGTAATGTTTATTTTTAATTACACTCGCTCCCAAAGTACGCTTCCAAAGGTTGAGTTCAGTTTACATACATACATACGTTAAATTTAATATGACTCCAACCAAGCTCATACATACACATTTTGCAGTTTCTTTTGTAGTATATGTTAATCGATTTGTTCGTTTTTTTTTTTTTTTAATTTTTATTTATCTGCACATGTATTGTTATAAAAACATAACATTGACCTTGGCTTTTCGCTACTTAACATCGCTGCTGTGAGATACCGTTGTGAGATACCGTTTTCAAACATCTTTTTTATCAGTATTCATTTTTGTCTGTATGGATGCTTGCATTTTTTTTTCTCTGCTTATTTAAATTTTTTAAGTCGCGTCATCGGAAAGCTGCTTCTCTACCCCCTACCAAACGCTTTCGACAATCTTCGCTTTTGTTAACCATATTTGTGCTTAGAGTTGTATAGTCTGAATGAGCATCTACAAGTTGAACATCTTTAGCATTTCGGGAGTGCATAAAAGGTTATTTCCATTTGTCTGGTCAAACAAAAGATGCATTAACAATTTTATAAATTTTTTTCTCACAAAATAAATGTATGAAAACAGGTATCCCTGTTGTTAAATTTATTGTTTATTTAACTCTTCCACATTATAAAAGTTGTTCTTTAGGTACATACATATGTATGCATGTACATATATTAGAATGGTATGTATGTACCACCTTACCTACAACCAAACAAAATAAGTATGTGCATATCTATGTAGTTACATTAGAGTGGTACGAAAATGCATGTGAAAAAGGTAAGGTGCAATTTTGAAATAAAAAGAAAATGTTCGATTTATGAAGCACTGAGCCAAATGTACAATGGTTTTTTCAACCAAGTTATTGTTTTTTTTTTCATGGTTAATACACCGATTGTAAGAAATGTGATTCAAGTTGAATATTTGAAAAAAAAATTCGTCGGTCCGGCAGTGGCTGAACGTGCAGAGGCGCTTTCTGTTATTTTTTGGCTTCCGTACATACGTTGGGTTCGAGTATGAATGCCGTCAGCGGCAACACATAATTTTTATATATTTTTTTCTGTTTTTGGTTTTTCTTAATTACGAAAAAGCATCTAAACCAAATTAAACGACGAATTGATTCAGTTTGAACATTTAAAGACACGTTTTTAAAGTGACTGTAAAATGATTATACAAATTTTTGTTTTGTATCTCCGAATTATGAAAAAGCATCTGTTAAGTGCAGAACATAAGCGTACTCAAACGAAAAAATTAACAACCACAAGAGTTTGGTTAATTTAAGCAAAAGTGGTTAATATTACCAAATCATTGTTGAAAATATCAACCAAGGCATTGTTATTATTAACAAAAAATCACGTTGTTTCCTTTTTAATTAAGTTTGAATTTGGTAATATTAACCAATTTTTAGTTGATTTTTCTCTCAGTGAGCATTCTTGGTTTTTAATGAAAGTAGGTAAAGTATCGGCTTTTTGTTGGAAATTTCATGTATAAGGTGTACTAATTAAATATTTACCTTATGTTATCAATTTAACTGAATTAAATTTTTCAAATAGGTGCCAACCCGCTTCAAAAATATTTTCGACAGTAAACTTTCTTCAACGTCTTTAGTTTAATACGGGTTGTGTAATATTTAATTTATTTTCTCAATTTAAATGAATAAAATTTTCAACAGGCGTCAACCCCGCTCATAAATATTTTCGGCAGTAAGCCTTCTTAACCGGCTAACCAGAATGTAGTTCCACAGCCACAAGCTAGCTACATCAGCAATAATACACCACAACCACAGCTACATATTGTGGGCAGCGTAGAGCTTTTGACAGCTCTTGCTACATGCCTGGTTAGCCAGTAAAGCTCTTTCTTGTGACAGCCATATTGAAATTTTCAAACAACTCTCAAATTTTTTTCTTCTATATTTTAAGTTGGACCTATAGTAATACATCGGTGAATACTGCATTCGATTCCATGTATTAGACAAAAATTGTAAAAATGGTTGATTTGGCTTCTGTTGCTCTGATAAAGACCACCACCAACCCCCCTCCCCCTTGCCACCATATTAATTTTCTTAATTGTCTATAATGTACAGACATCGGCCTGTTACAATTTTTAAGCGACTCCAAAAAAGGAGGGGGTTATCAGTTCGTCGGAATATTTATTTTATTATATATATATATATATATTTTTTTATGTATGTATGTATGTTACCTCATAACTTTGGACCACGTCAACCGATTTCGATAATTCTTTTTGCATCGGTAAGGTAGTATCTCAGAGGTGGTCCCATACTAATCTGGTTTAGATCCGATCATTGGATCATGAGATATATATATATTTTTTTTTTGTTATATGAGAATTGAAGTCGGTTTTATTTTTTGCTTAAAAATTATTTGTAAATATAATGTGTGTAGGGAGTTGAGAATATCAGTTATTGATACAATCATTAATCATTAAAACTTATATTTGTTACTATTGTGCTAATTGGCGTTTTTCTTGACTTTTTTTTGCAGGCGTAAACAGTTAGAGAGCCTTTTAAAGATGTATGAGGACCATGAAACTGAAATGATTCAAGCACTGGATGCAGACTTGCGACGCCCCAAGCAAGAAAGTTTAGTTGTTGAAACAGAATTTCTCAAGAACGATATCAAACACATATTATATAACCTTAATGATTGGGTAAAACCCGAAACAGTGAGTACACGCGAGCTTTATTATTTATGCATAATTTTTTTTAACACCTAAGCCGAATTTTCACTAGGCATTGAAATTACAAAAAAAAAAATGTATGCCTTTTAAAAAAATGACATGTGGAAATGAACTTAATGCCTATTTTTTTCAATGTTATGGACACGATTATTTTTTAATGCCCGACTTTGTCATTTGTCATGTTTGCCATTTAATGCCTAGTGGAAATCCAGCATAATGATTAATAAATGTATATATACTTATTTAAATTCCTTGACACAGCCTGAAAAATCGTTGGTGAATTTACTGGACGATGTACAGATCTTCAATGATCCCTATGGTGTAGTTCTAGTGATTGGTGCATGGAATTATCCACTACAACTGCTACTTGTGCCAGTGGCATCGGCTATAGCTGCAGGAAATTGCGTCGTAATCAAGCCAAGTGAAATTTCCACCAACTGTGCTAAATTCGTTACAGAAATGGTACCAAAATATTTAGACAACGTAAGTCACACGCTGAACAATTTCAAAAAAAAAAAAAAACACTTTTAATTTTATTTTAAACATACCATGTCCATCTGAAACAGGATTGCTATCCAGTTGTATGTGGGGGACCCACGGAAACCGCTGAATTGTTGAAACAACGTTTTGACTACATTTTCTACACTGGCTCCACAAGAGTGGGTAAAATAATACATGCTGCTGCCAATAAGTATCTAACGCCAGTAACTTTAGAATTGGGCGGCAAAAGGTATAATATACTTATTAGACAACGTCAAAGAAAAAATTAAAAAAATCCTGCAATGCGACCGCCATCGGACTCAGATTTTAGTATTTGCTATACGATACTTTCGGAATTTAAGGAATCTGAGCATGCATAATACTTAAATGGCATGTAATCAATGTGTTCTTATATAGTTTCGAGCGTTTTGATTAATCCCAGAAAATTGTATTGACATCAAAAGAGAATAACTCATTTTCTTACGTGTAATTCCTATGGGAAAAATGAACGCTCGGTGCGCGATCTCTTAGAATTATCGTAGAGAGGAGAGATTTATGGAGGATCATTACTATAGCAAATTCTAAAATCTGAACACGATGGCGGTCGCATTGCAGAATTTTGATTTTTTTACGTGGTCTAATACTTATACATTCACGCATATGTACATACATATTTGCTACAATAATACATTTTCATTTCTTATTTTTTTTTTATTTCATAACACCCGCCTAATTGCAGTCCCTGCTATATTGACAAATCAGTTGAATTGCGCACAGCTGCTAAACGCATACTTTGGGGTAAACTTATCAATTGTGGTCAAACGTGCATTGCACCCGATTATGTGCTGTGCTCGAAGGAAATCCAAGATAGGTTCATTGCCGAGGCAAAAGAAGTGCTCAAAGAGTGGTATGGCGAGGATATCAAAAGCAGTCCGGATCTCAGTCGTATTATTAATCATAATAATTTTCAGTAAATATTACATGCAAATAGAATTACAACACATTACTTGAGATATGGCGTATAGTTTCTCTAGCGTTTTGGCTAATACTTTTGCTTATTTTAGACGCTTACTTGGACTGATGAAGAGCGGCAAAGTTGCTGTCGGTGGAAATTATGATGCTTCTGAACGATATATTGAGCCAACCATACTAACTGATGTCAAAACTGACGACCCCATTATGCAAGAGGAAATATTCGGACCGCTTTTGCCAATTTTCACAGTAGAAAATGCCTACGATGCAATTAAATTCATCAATTCCAGGTAAAATGCGCAAAGAATGGCAACGGAATAGTTGTTGAAAATTTTTTATGTTCAGCATTGTTAAATTGCACAAATTTTTTGTGATTGCATCAAATTCAAATGTTTTTTATTTCGTCACCTGAAATGCAAAATAACGTAACAACATAGTCACTGAAATGGAAAAAGTCGTGACAATTTCGTTTTGTTTATAAATCGATGTGGGGAGTTGTAATTCGATGAAATCCATCATAGCAATCAAAAAGTTAATTTTGAATTTTTTATAAGTTACGACTTTTTGGATTTCAGTGACGATGTTGTTACGTTATTTTGCATTTCAGGTGACGATTTTTATTTGTGATTTATATGATAACGTACACCCAAAACGGTTTGGAAAGGTAAACAAATTAATTTGTTTAAAAGCGATTAATTGCTATTTCGACATTAGCCGCTTAAAATCTCACATCCATCCGGGATCTGGATGAGAGTAGCCACTATAGCCTAACTTTTATATACCAATAAATAAACAATTGCAATGCGTATTAAAGCATAGACAGATGTCAACGTTAATCCGCGAGGTCGTGGGTTTGAGTCCCACAGCCGGTAGAGTTTTAATCTGTTTTTTTTTTTTAATTCATTCAATTTTACTTTCATTTATTTTCTTTAATTCCCCTGAACTGGTTAAATTTCGAGTATGTATTAGCAGCAGGACTGCATCAACGCTGTCGCCTATCTATCGCGCTTAAAAATGCTCAAAATTTCCAACCAGTACATATGTATATCAACCATATGTTGTTTCATAAAAATTTTCCAAAACTGGGTGTACGATTCTCAATGCGCTAAGTAAAAACCAAGGTTACTCTTTTTTTTACCAGGGACCGAAAATATCTATAAAGTACCAAATTATTTTTCTTTTTAAAGGCTGGTATGCAGCTCTCAAGAAATCGGCCAAGAAAAATTTTCCATTATTTCGTGTGCGTGTGTCCAAGGAATTTTGACATTTTTGATGCTTCACAGCCTGTTGCCTCACTCTTTCCTCAAGAAATAATGGAACGAGCATATATTTCTGTTGCAAACCTGGGTTGCCTTGTGCTCTTTTTTCATAAAAAACTTTAGAAAACCGTAGTAAAAAGCGTAGCAAATTTCTTAAGAACTGCGTACTGCCTGAAGGAAATTTGACTCAAGAAAATTTCTTAGCCATTTCTTGTACGTCATTTTGTATGGAATTTTAGCTTTTCTTGAGAACTGCATATAGGCCTTAAACCAAGAATAATCGTTAAACTTTGACTTTTATTTTTTCGATAGTTTAAAATGCTTTATGATCTAAAAACTTAAATCTGAAAATAACGGTTATGAGATGATTGGATAAAAAATCCAAAAATAATGTTTATTTTTTAATTGAAAAAGTAAAAATCATAAAATTACAATTAAATTTGATAGGAAAAATATACATCCAATTTTTACGGTTAGTTCATAATTTTTATTATAAAGATCACAACTTTACGGTCCCTGTTTATTTTTGTATTTGATGTATTTAATTCATTTTTTCTTCTCATTTATTATTTTTCGTTTATTACATCCATGTCTCAACATTTGTGTGCGTCTAAAAAAAACTCATTGTTTATAAAAAAAAATAATACACAATTTAACACACAAATTTACACATAAACGTACACAGAGAAGCACCACTTTGCGCGTATATATTCACAGCGGACGCTGCGGTACAAAATTTATTTAAACGCGACATCCAATCGGGCGGAATGTGTATGAATGAAACTATAATGCATTATGCTGGTAAGCGAAGACTGTACATATTGAAGTAAAAAAAATGCAAATATACACCGACTTATTGTCCCGACCCTTAATAGTGTCTACTTGCACCAGCGCATTGTTTTTGCAATCAATGCCTCTTATTGAACTGCCCGTTTATGCTCCCATTAATTTGTACAGTTGTAAAATTCCCATAGACAAAGTGGTGTTGGCGCGGGCTACTCCTATCTGCAAATAATTTGTAAATATATTTTGTTTACTTTTTACATATGTATTTCTTAAATGCTAATTATTTGTACATATGTATGCATCTGGTGCTTGGGTTATTTACAATAAGAGTGAATGCTTGTACATATTTGAACCAAAAAGAATCGAATTTTAATTGGAGTTGGTGTTACTAAATTTGTGTGAACTTTAAATCTGACGATAGGTAACTATGTAGTCATGTGTGTATTGTATCTACATATGTATTGCTATCCTCCCGACCTCAAACGCAACCATAAAATGCATATGTCTTTTAAATAGAAAAAATTATAAATGTATGGCTAATTAGATGTGAACACAACACGACGCTAGTGATTCCCTAATTCAGTTTTACTGGTTTTATTTTTGAAGTAGCGATTCTTAGTCGATTTCGGTGATGATTACGTTAAACGTTTAACGCCACGAGAAAGGAGGAAAGCGGAGACAGCGAGGGAAGAAAATAAAGATAAAAATGAAGATACTCCTAAAGATAAAGATAAAGATAAAGATAAAGATAAAGATAAAGATAAAG